TTTTTACAATTAAATCTATGATCCATTTTGAGTTAGTTTTTGTACAAAGTGTGAAGTTCAGATCAAAGTTAATTTTTTAACCTATGATTAAGAGGATAAAAAGATAAGCTACAGGCTGAGAGAAAATATTTGCAAAGCACTTGACAAAGGACTCTTACCTAGAATATGTAGAGAGCTTTCAAAACTCAACAGGCAAAAGAAAGTCCAATTATAAACTGGACAAAGACATGAAGAAATACTTCACTGAAATATTTCATTCATATTTCAATAGACTACAGATGGCAAATAAATAATGAAAATACTTTTTACACTACTAATTATTAGGGACATGCAAATTAAGACCATGATAAAAATTACTACACATCTATTAAAACTGCTAAAAAATAATGACAATGTCAAATGCTGGTGAGGGTGCAAAGAAACTGGATCTCTTATACATTAATGGTGGGAATATAAAATGGTATAGCTACTCTAAAAAAATTTGTTGGTTTAAGAACTAAACCATACCATTTAGCAACTGCACTCCTGGCCATTTATCTCAGAGATACCAAAAGTTATGTCCACACAAAAACCTGTGTATGACCATTCACAGCAGGTTGTAATAGCCCAAAACTGTAAACAACCAAAATGTTATTGTGCGCTGGTCTCATCCTATCAATAAGGGATGCTGTGGTTGAACAGGCCTTTGTGGTACTTCTCATGTTTGCAAGACGCCCTTTGGCAACAACCATCAGAAAGCTACCCAAGGGTTTATTCCTTGCAGGACCATGGGGTGAGGGAATGGGAAGCACATGTGCACATGGGGCCTGGGGTTCTGCTTTTATTGAGGTTGAGGCTGGAAGCCTAGGGTTTCACTGGCTCTCTCTTTATTGGTGAATTTAAAACACAAAAACCAGAATTTGAATCTTGGGAAGAGTAAAAACAAATGACCCAAAGGGCCCAATATTGAAATCAACCAAAATCTCTAAAACAAAGGCACCTCAGAGGAGGGAGATGGCCTGGCTCTTTATCTAGTCTGGTGGCTGGCAATGTTTTTTGGAGATAGCCATCCTTGAAGTGAATGCTTCTTCGATGTGGATGCCTCAGCAACGAAAACTGGAGTCAGGCACTTAGGTTACCAAAAAAAAAAAACTGTCAAAGTTTACAGTACAAAGGCCTAAGAGCTGAATGGCCAAACAAATCACAGGACATTCATACTATGAAATACTACCTAGCAATAAAAAGGAACAAACTACTGATACACACAACAACTTGGGTGAATCTCAAGAGTATTATGTTGAGTGACAAAGCCAAACTCAAAAAAAGTCACATACTGTATAAGTTTATTTATGTACCATCATAAAAAGTGACATGATAGACATAAAGAAGAGATTAGTGGTTGCCAGGGATTAGACAGGAGGGGAGAGGGAGTAGAAAGGTGTGACTACGAAGAGGTTGCGTCATCTTTGGGATGATAGACTAGTTGTGCATCTTGATGGTGGTAAGGGTCACACAAATATACACATGTGATAAAATGATACAGATCTATACACATGCTTTTATCAATATCAATTTCCTGGCTTCAATATGTACTACAGTTATACCAAATATAAGCAATGGGGGAAACTGAGTGAAGTGTACACCGGAATCTATACCATCTTTGCAACTTTCCTGTGAATCTATAATTATTTCAAAATAAAGTTTTTTAAAAATGCAATTAATATTAAGTCATCCAAAAGTTTGGGAAACATGAGAGAACTTATAAATTTGTTGTGAAGTGCTAAGTGAATCCCAAGAGCAATATAAATGATCACGGTGCGGCCTAGAAAGAGCTGGAGATTTTGTTCAATTCTCTAAAACAGACAGTTCAAACATTTATTGAGTACCCAGTGTATACAACCTGGTGCCATAAACAGTCGTGGGATTAAGAAAGAGAAATCAATCTACTAAGAAGATATGATAGAATAACTATTAAAAGCATAAGGGCCTCTGCAAAAGCAGTTCCCATTTGCCTGGAATACTCTTCCACTTTTCTGGTTTGTTCTTACTCATCCTTAACTCTCAGCTCATTGTCACTTCAGGAAATCTCCCTAACTCTCCTCATTGCCCTCCACATTAGATCAGATTTCCCTACCACAGGCTTATAACAGCATCCTGTATTTTTCATTTATATACTAACCTCCATTTGCAAACAAAGAACTGTGTGACAACTTGGTATCTACTCCCCCCAACCCACCCCATTAGGCTAAAATCACCAAAAGGGCAAAAAAAGATCTGTGTAGCTTGCCACTGTAATCCTAAACCAACACAATGCCTGGTAAATGACAAAAGCTCAAAGTATATCACATGAATAAATCTATACAAAGCTGTAATTCATATGTTGAGATGATTAAGCAGACAGTAAGTTACTGGGGTTTAGAAGAACCCTAGATCACTTCATCTTGGGAAAGCTAGTTTATATGGGATAGAAGGTTTATGAAGAAGAATAAGCAATCTTATATCCAAAGCTGAAAATGAAATGTCAGCCCTTTGACAATAAAAACCCACTAAAAATTGAAGCAGAGACGTGGCATGTCCAATGAGTTCTACAGGAAAATTAATGTGAAGAATGAACTTGAACTGAGAGGGTAAGACATTAGAGGCAGTAAAAATACTTGAGAGGTCACTGTATGAATGCAGGCACAAAATGTTAAGGCCCTGAATGAGACAGTGACCATGGGAACAGACAGATGTGTGAAATACTAAGAATAAAGAGCCAACAGAACTTAAGAACTAATCAGACATAAGGGCATAAAAGGGGAAAGAGTCTATGATAACTGAAGGGGTTTACAGTGAGTAATCAGTTAAAGAGAGTACCATTAATAAAAATGGGAAGTCATGACCAAGTCCTTTTAGGAGATGAACTGTACTTTATTGGAAGCCATGGATAACATCCACACTGAAGACGTGAGACCAAATGGAGAAAAGTCAAGGTTGGTAGTGTACATGTGTGAGCTGATCACAGTTAAGGTTAAAGGATGAATAAGATCGTTCAGAGAAGAGAAGGTAAAAAGGGCTTTGAATAAAATCCTTTAAAACAACATGATTTGCCCCTGGCTTAAATTATATTTATCAAACTACAGAGTCACTCAGACTGTGAGCTCCGTTGGGGGCATACCCTTGCATTCTCTAAAGTACACATTACAGGGGGTTGTACCTAACTGGCGCACAGTAAGTAACCCATTAAAGGAATCAGTTATTTTCAAGACACCTGCTGATTAATATTTCCTGTTCCACCTTACTTTGTGTTTCAAAAACTTGAAAGGAATGGGCTTCACTTTAAATTAGTATAATCAGTGACTTTAGACCATTTAAGTCACTTATCCAAAGATATGACTTCCCAAAGCTGTAGGACTAAAGAACAGAGAAACCAGACTTGGGGACTGTAAAAATCTTTAAAAAAAAAAGTTTCCAATGAGATTAGAGCTAAAGCAAATCTCCACTCAAGCAGGGAATACTTTTCAAGAAGTTTCTGAATAAAAGTAATCAAGTAATATTTACTGAGGAAGTGAAGTAAATCAAAATGTTCAATTGTATGTACTATACGAGTTGACAATGTACAAAAAGTAAATAAGCTTCAGGTGAAGTGAAAGATAAACAAGATAATAAAAGGGAATTGAGAACAGTGGAGATGCATACTCTCTTAAAAACATATGAGAGAAAAGTCACTGGCCTGCTCTCCCACAAAACATTCCTGGATATTGCAGTCAAAGGTGGAGTAATGGGCTAATCTGATTCAATATTTAGATGAACAGTATTTCCCAGATGCAGTTTAAAAATAAGACAAAGGACTACTAAAATGGATTAGGGGAGAAAACTGCTAACAGCCTACCCCTCAAAAATAAATGACCAAGGCTGCAATATGCGATTATACTCTAACCCTGAATCATAAGCAAATGTCTGTTTTAGGTGCTTCCTGATAGCTGAGTGTATTTGTGGGAGAAGCCAGGGAAGAGAAAAGAAACCAGTTGGAGTCACAGACCCTAGGAACCTGACAAGTCATCTATAATCCAATTACCCTCTTAATATCAGAGTGCCTTCCGCAAGTCTAAAAGATGGTCAACCAGTGTACGCCTGCTTGTTTCCAGCAATAGCAGAGCAAATGGCCTAATTCTGACCATTCAGAATTAGACGGATCTAATTTGTTGCAAAACCCTTCGAAGTTATCGCAAAGAAACTTTCACCTCTGGTCCTGGATCTCTCAAGAGCAACAAAATGAAAGTCGTGTTTTGTTTTTGTTTAAGCTTAACAACAACTAGGTATTACTTCCTGGCGTGTCGATATGTTCTCTTCTTTCAATAATAGGAAAACTGGATTTTCCCTCCCAAGGTCTCCCCTTAAAGAAAAAGGAATGCCAAGCACATTTTCCTTTAGATTCAGGGCTGCAACCTCCCCAGTAGGGAAAAGGGTCTTAACTAACTACACACACTAGATGTTGTAACTGATATGTAATCCCCATTGCCAGGAAAGAAGCTGCTCCAGCCAGTGGCCAAGTGCTGGGACGCGATAGAAGCCACAGACCTGGCCTGGTAGCTCTGAGGCTGTGGAGAACAAGAAGCCCGAATCCCTTCTTGCCAAAGCCGCGAAGGGCAGGGTACGCGCTCCTTCCCAGGCCACCGGCAAGCCCCGCGCCTCACTGGACAGAGCCCTCGGCCCCGTAGAATTGGCATTGCTGAGAGGAATGCTCAGTGAAGCACCTGGCGAATCCCAAACAGTGAGGCCAAACCAGCTGCCCGTTCGCCCAACCACCCGGCCCGCTGGATGCGTACTGAGAACCGGCATCGGTGGGAGCTCCGCGAGTAGACGACTGTGGCTCGGCCCGCGTTCCGTCTATCACATTCGCCCACCCTCTTTCGTTCCCCGGCCCAAAGCTGAGCCGCGGGTGACCCTAGGCGGCGATGCCCCAAAGGCACACCGCGTTTGGGGTAAGTGCTGAGGACCGGGCCGAGCTCCTAGGCTGGCGGCTGCAGCAGGTCACTCACCGAGAGGACGCTCATGCGGATTGGGGTCTCCAACAGGCACGCCATCTTGAGCCTTCCCACCCGGCTGCGGCGGACGCCGGCGCGGGGGCCGGCACTTTCGACAACAAACTGCTGGGCCAACAACAAACACTTCTACAGAAAGTCAGGCAGGTAGAGGACGATAGATCACACTCTAGACACCGCTGAAATACCGCCAGAGCCCGCGGAAGGGAGAACAAAGGGAGACAGTGCCTGGGGCCTCCTTACGAATCGTCGGCTAATAAACAGCAACTACTCTCAGCCTGGGTTAGAGGTGGGAGCGGACAGCAGTCTCCGCATGCGCAAAGAATAGCTGGCGGCCCCACCTGCCGCTCACTGTGGGCGGGGCCTCGGGGGCGGAGTCTCGCTCCGCCTCTACTAGCTTCAAGACGGATTCGTAGCAATTTTCGCGTATTCGTATTCCGAAAAACTGGAGTGCGAAGCCACGCATATAATTTGAAGTTCATTTGCACATTTTTCTCCTTTTTTGCACGAAACTTGTAGCGTCATTATCTCCATTTTACCGATGGAGAAACCGCGATCTCAGTACAGTCTTCTGCCACGAATAAGAGTATTGCACAATCCAACGCTGAAGTGTAACCTGCTTTATATTGTCTGCCCTACCCGCTTATTCTAATCTTTTGTTAAGAATACATACTCTCGAGTCAGAACAGTTGCGTTTAATCTTTGCTACTTCATGTAGCAGCTGCAGTACCTCTGGCAAGCTTAACGTCTTTAAGTCAGTTTTCTCTTCTGTTAAATAAGAGTTATGAGGATGAAGAACTCAAAGGTCTTAGAACGTGCCTGGAACGTAGAAAGCGTTATATAAGTATTAGTATTTCTTCAGCCTCTGGGTCAAGTAGGGGAAAATGGCGGCAAATAGCTGAATAATTCATGCTAAAACGCTCTGACAACTGAAGCCAAATAAAAAATACATATATATTTCTAATTACAGTATTTCTGATTGATTAACTCCACTTCGCCACTGTGCGTGTGCCTGTGTCTACGTACCTACAAAACTGCCCTGGACTTGGCCGGACCGGTTTCACCTTCGTGATGCTCGCAATTAGTCAGGTTTTTACAGGATGGTTGTAATGAGCCTGTTATGTTACTTGTTCTTCCATTTCCATAGCCATTCTCTAACTCAGACTGTTATCACTTCTCCCCTGGACTACAGCAATAGCTTTCCAACTAATCTTGCAGCCTCTCGCCTCTCCTTTGCTTTGCTCCTCACTGCTTCCCTATCTTCTCTGGTACTTGGTTTCTAAATTTATTCTAGCATTACTCATCCTTGCTTATGGGTCTGTGTGTCCCTAACACACTGTCGAGTTTCTGGAAAGCAGGAACTTCATTTTAGATTTTCCTTCTGCTACCACACTATGCCCCAAACTTTAATAATCTGCGTACCATCCCCAGAATCTTTGCCAACCTGTATCCAGGTACTATTATTCACCCCATATTTTTCTAAAGCCAATTTCAATTCATGAAATAGTTTTAGCTTCATCCTAAACTATAACACTCTGTAAAATCAAGTTTATTGTACTCTTTATTCTTATTCTGGTAACATTAACATAATAACCACAAAGAAGTCTAAATGACCATCCATGTATCACTTAAAATCATGTCACATGTCACATACCACATACCACAACAGTGCAGAGCATAACCATTACACAGAGATATCAATTCAATGTTCAGTTGATATTTGCATGATATAAAATTGTTATAGGTGTGTTTGATCCACACTTCATCTATTATCTCAAGCCATACATCCTGCAGGAAGCCTCCCCCCAAGTTTAGGTTAGGTGACTCCTCTCTCACGTCTTCCTTAATCTCTATATTCTTGCCAATAACACAGCGTCTCTAACAATACACTGTGGGTTTTTAAAAATAATTCTTTACTTGTTTGTCTCCCCTCTATACATTTCATGACAGGGACTAGAAATTTTATCTTCTAGGTCTTCTATCTCACTGACTATCATGGAATAGTCACTCACTAAATGTTTGTTGAATGAATTTTGGCCTTAGTTTAGGCACCCCAAAAGGCAGATCCTGGGACAAAGATTTGGGTACTGGTAGTTTATTTGAGAAGAATTTCCAGGGAACAGAATTGATGGATCAGGGAGAGGGAGAAAAAAAAAAAAAGAAGAAAAAGACAATATAAGCATCCATTATTGAAGGCACTGCTTATTTCTGGAGGACCTTTAAGAAACATGCAACATGCCCATATACATCTTGAGGTTGGAACATTTATTTACTACTTTTGTCCTGTACAAACTTGTTGACAGGTTTTTCTCTGGGGCTGTTAACTCTGTATCCTCCTGAATTGTCCTTGTGCACAGAATAGAGAGGACTTCTTTACCTGATGCAAAAAAAGCGCAATCTGTGAGCAGAAGTGTTTCATAATGGAGAAACAAAGATAATTTAAGCAGTTGTAAATCTGATCTTTTCACCATTTTCATTTCAGTAATGGAATCTAGAAGTCATAAAACCTATAAAGGAGAGATATTGTGTGTGTGTGTTTTCTGAAATTAGAAAGTCTAATGAAATGTTTGATGATTTTAAGATTCAGAGGCTAGAGACACCATACAGAACTCTTTCATCCTTCTGAGTTTTGCTTATATTTAGTGGGATCACTTCAGATGAGCACTCCTTAGTTTTTCTGAGTGTGCTGCCATCTGATGGTGGTAGGTGTCATAATCACCTGGTTCAATCATAAGATGCAGGTAGCAAGGATAGATGTTTTTTCCTGATGTTTATAACCTTTTACAAACTAATTGAAGACTCATTGCTCAGAAATCTCCATGGCTCATTCATTTACTTAGGAAAGTTTCTTCCCAATATGTCACCATATCAGCATGGTCTTCCAGAACCATCCTACATTTATTCATAAGTATCCTACCACCCTCACCACAACATTTCCAACCTCCTTTCGCTGCTGTTTTCAATCATCCATCTTTTAAACACAACTCTTCCTTTCTGTGTCCTTTATTTTTCTTCAACTCTTGTTTGACTGTATTTTATTGTCAAGTCAATTTGTTTTTCCAGAAAAGGCCTGTGGATATTTTCCTTCCTGGACTTTCGTTTTGTTTGTTTTTTTTAAGTGGTTGGAAACACCAGCTTATTGCTTCTTCCTTGAACAGCATCTTGCCTAATTACAATGTATAAGAAAACAAAACACATTCTAGATATTTTCAACAAAAAGCTTACAAAATGGCTGGAAAGACTAAAGATGCAAACAGGGAGGGAGAATTGTATTTGGAGTCAGGGACATCAGGAAGTTCACCACCACGGAAGGAGGCTGGGGTGCTAACCTGCCACCATCATTGCCAAAACCAGAAGAGAAAGAAACCTTCCTTCTGTCTTCTAATCTCTGACAAGAAGAAAAAAGTGAGATGTTGTAAACTTTTAAAAAAAATGCTGCTGGAGAATGGGAGAAAGAAATGTTAGGCTGTTAATAGTTGTGGACAAGTGATGACAATTCCTGTAATCCCAGAAGTCTCTGCTTCTTATTTACATATGAACTTTCTGATCTATTGCCCAAAACTAATCCACAGGAGTGTACATTTTAAAAAATATATTTATTTATTTTTAGAGGGAGGGAAAGGGAAGGAGAAAGAGTGGGAGAGAAACATCAGTATGTGGTTGCCTCTCATGTGTCCCATACTGGGGACCTGGCCCGCAACCCAGGCATGTGCCCTGACTGGAAATTGAACCGGCGACCCTTTGCTTCACCTGCCTGTGTTCAATCCACTGAGCTACACCAGGCAGGAGGACATTTTTTTTGAGGACGCCGATGCACCTATCCCAGAACTAGCCCCACTTCACCTTCTTCCATTCCCTTTGTCTATAGCTAATCTAAATCCTTTCAGAAAGATTAACATCTTTCTGCCCCCTATTTGATGTACTAAAAACACTTGGAAAATTCTGGGACAAAGGACATATCTTTCCTGCCTAGCCATGCTGTGGGTAGTTTAGGCCTTATACCCCAAGCCAGATCTTTTTCCCTTTGTTAGAAATGTTCCTTAGTAAAACATTTCTTTTAAAACAACTTTTAGCCTTGGAAGTTAATGTAGGTTTGTTTGTTCAATGGTTCACAAACATGTTTCTCATTTGCAAAACCTAATTCAGACCTCAGCTAGCAAAGGGTGTCTAGGAAATAGAATGTAGTTACTTTTAATTTCTAGAACTGGAAATACATAGGTGGGCCAAGAACTATCTCCTAGTTCTTGATATGTAAGTATATATCATATGTTCATGATATATATTTATGATTTCAGTGTGTTTACTTAAAAAGGAAACCAGAAAATCCCTTATATAACCAGATTAAAATTATCAAAATCAGAAAACTAATACTGGTCCTGGCTGGTGTAGCTCAGTGGATTGAGCACCAATCTGTGAATCAAAGGGTTGCCGGTTCCATTTCCAGTCAAGGCGTATGCCTGGGTTGCAGGCCAGGTCCCCTGTAGGAGGCACATGAGAAGCAACCACACATTGATGTTTCTTTCCCTTTCTTTCTCCTTCTCTCTAAAAATAAATAAACAAAATCTTTAAAAATTTTTTAAAAGGGAAAGTTAAAAAAAAGAAAATTAATACTGATACAATACTAATTTACAGAGCTTATTCAGACTTTGCCAGTGGACCTAAAAATGTCTTTTATAACACCACATTGCATTCACTTATCATAAATCTTCAGTCTCCTTTAATTTTTAATATTTCTCAATCTCTTCTTCTATTTCATGATTTTTTTATTAAAAAAGGCAAATTTTTTAAAAAATCTCAATTTTAGTTTGCTAGCTACTTTTTGAGACTAGATTTGGGTTATATATTTTTGGTAGAAATACAATAGACATACTGCATGTCATATCAGAATGCATATGATGTGGTTTGTCCATTCCTGGTGAGATAACCTTTGAACACTGCTGAAGTGGTATGGCCTGATAACTCTAGTGTGAAATCCCTCTTTATCTTTGTTACATTAAGTATCTTTTGGAAAGATATTTTGTGACTATGTAAGTAGTTTCAAATAATAGATACATTGAGACTGTGTAAGTATCCTACTACTCTTCAAAGTTTTACCCAGTAGTGCTGGCATTCATTAAAGATTCATGCTTGAAACAATTATGATGAAGATAATGGTTATTGCGATGTTTAAACAGTGATTTCTAACTCCAACTTTCTTTCTATATTTATCAATCAGCTGAAGGGGACCAACGTTTTGCCACCCAAAGCTGCTTTTTGGGATATTGATTTTATCTGGTTATTAGAAAACAAAAGACTTGGGAAGCAATTTTGGCCCCGCCTCTTACTTGCCTAAGAGATCCAGGTGGGAAAGCCTGCTTCAGAAAGGAAAATTTAGGGTGTTCCCCTTAGCCTAATTTCAGTATGATAGATGGGAAAGATCCAGGCAGGGGCCTGTAGCTAGATCACCCTTTGTCACATTGAAACAAGAATTTACCTGCCATGTATGTTCTGTGTAAATTGCTCATTTCCTTTAAAATTGCAGGTCCCTGGTCTCCCTTTCTCCTTTGGCCAAAAATATCACATATGCCCAATTTTACCTCACTGTTTTTGAAATTTTCATGCTTATGTGAATTTATCATACATGCACCTATTCAGATCTCATTTTCTTTTTTTTTAATTTTATTTATTTATCTTTAGAGGGGAAGGCAAGGAGAGAGGGAGAGAAATATCAATGTATGGTCGCTTCTCATGCATCCCCTGCTGGGAACTGGCACTTGCTGGGAACTGGCCCCTGCTGGGAACTAGCCTGCAACCCAGGCATGTGCCCTGACTGGGAATCGAACCGCGATCTTTTGTTTTGCAGGCCCATGCTCAACCACCGAGCTACACCAGCCAAGGCCATTTTCTTTTGTTGATCTGTATCTATTAATTTGATTATTAGCCCAGCTACAAAAATTTACAATGTGGGAACAAAAGCATTATTTTTTTATTCCACGCACAGCATTCTTCTATAATAAGAACTCTTTTTTCCCATTATTTATTTTTTATATCAGTATGTGATAATAGATTCCTAATTTATTCAATAGGCTGTATCTGTTACTATTAATATCCATTTTGGTGTTTAAATTGTTTCAGATATGGTGAGTAGAAAACCTTCCATCATTATGCTTTGACATCCCAGATTCTCTGAACACGTCCTTGCTTTCTGGCACAAGATGCTGTAGGCTCATTTTGTACTTTTTCTGCCCTGGAATCAACCACTTCAATAAGCACACTTGATTTCTTTTAGAGGAGAATAGTATTTATAAACTAAGGTCTGGTTGTGCCTAAGAAGTTTCAAATAACAGTTCTGCTCAGCCTCATGCCAGTTTATGCTTTTTCAACATGTTTCCATAGTTGACATGTGATTCCTTTTTCATCTTGCTTATTGTTGGATGCCTGTATTTACATACAGTGTTTGCTCCTATAGACTCAAGGAATTTCTTTCCCATCACATCTAAGACCTGTTTGTTTTCACCATGGAACCACACACACAGTTTGAGAGCACCTTCCTGTTCTGTGAGTAGCCCTTCACATTCATCAGAAAGAACTATCTTCACTGTTTGTTCCTTCCATTTTTCTCCAACGACCAACCCATTTCTTCTCATTCAGAATAGAAGGGGGGTGAGGCTTTCTATTTAGTTTGATGCTCTCTGGATTTGAGAAAGTCAGTGAGAATTTTCAGGTCTGCTGATTTCCTCATCGGGTGTAGATTGGGAAGAGTAGGTGGCTGAGCCAAGATGCACTTATTTGTTTCTATTTATAGCCTTTTATTTCTTTCTTTGACTACAAAATTTTGCATGTTATGGCATTAAGTTATTATTTTTTATCCATCACAAAAGAAAAATTCAAATCAGATTGCATATTAAAAATCTGTTGTAAAATACACATGAAACTTCAAGGAGATACCATTGCACACCTAACAAAATCGGTAAGATGGAACAGATAATACCAAGTGCTGTTGAATATATAAAATAATTGCAATGCCCTTATATTAGATAGGAAAGTGAAAACAAGTACGGGACCACTTTGGAAACTGACATTATCTATTAAAGCTTAACATATACCTACTCTATTACCCAGATTCCATTCCTGGGCATAATAACCCAAGGGAAGTAAGTGCCATATCCACCAAAAAATTTTATAAGAATGTGCACAGTGTCTTTTATTCATAATAGTCCCAAATTAGAAATCATTCACATGTTCTTAAACAGGAAAATATATAAATAAATTGTGGTATTTTCACACAATGGAATATTACACAGCAATTAGAAATAGCATATTATGTCTATATCTACAGTATAAGATTCATGTTTGAATGTTGCAGACGTCCAGTGAAGAAAGGCAGACACTACAGAGTACTTAGTGTACATAGTCATGGCTGCATAATATTTTGGTCAGTGAGGAACCCCATGTATGTCAGTGGTCCCACAAGATTATAATGGAGCTGAAAAATTCCTATCACCTAGTGACACTATAGCTGTTATAATTTCATTGCAAAACACATTACCCACATGTTTGTGGTGATGCTAGTTTTATAAACAAACCTGCTGCACTGCCATGTATAAAAGTATATGTGCTATAAAAGTATAGCGCATAAAATTATGCACAGTACATAATACTTGATAATGACAATAAATGGCTACATGACTGATTTGTATATTTACCAAACTGTATTTTTATCATTGTTTTAGAGTGTATTCCTTCTACTTATTAAAAAAAGTATGCTCTAAAGTCGTATGCATGGCTTATGTTTTTAAAAAAACTATATGCACTGTTACATTGGGAGAAGCCTCATAGATTTTACCAAATTTCTTGATGGCAATCACTTTATCTTGTGTTTGATTTAATATCATGTTGTTTTGTATAGTAACAGGCTGTACAGGTTGGTAGCCTACGAGCAACAGGCTATATCACACAGCTGAGTGTATGTATAGTAGGCTATGCCAGCGATATTCAGCTGGTCTGCTGGAGCACACTGGTGTGCTGCAAGAATTTTAAAACATGCAACCCCTGACTGTTGTGTCAGGAGCACTGACCTCTTTTCTCTTAGATTGTCAAATAAAAAAAATGACAACAGCCAAGACAGCAAGAGCTGTCCTGTGAGAATGAATCAAAATTATACCTATTTTTGTCAGATTGGCAAAAAAAATTTTTTTCAGCATGCCATAGATTTTTAATAGTTAGTTTTTCTGTGCCAGGAGATGGAAAACGTTGAAAATCACTGGGCTATGCCAGTAGGTTTGTGAAACACCTGTGAAGTTCATGCAGAGGAAATCATTTACTAACACATTTCTTAGAATGTATCCCTCCCTGTTAAGAACTGCCTGGCTGTATTGACATTTATATGAAGTTTAGAAACAAGTGAAACTGATCTATGGAGACAGAGGTTAGAATAGTGCTTTCCTTTTGGGGAAAGGGGCTTGGGAGGAAGCACAAAGGAATCTGTCAGAATGATGGCAATATTTTATATTTTGAGATGGGTGGTGGTTATGTGTGATTATATATGCAGAAATACATTAAAATGTGCACTGAAGATTGGGTTTGTTCGTGTTTCTTTAACTAAGTTAGCCCTCAAAATTTTTTACATGTAGAATAATGATCCAGAAAAAGACAATTCTTGTAGACAATTAAATGGAAAAAGTTAAATTTAGCAATATCATAAAAAGCATAGATTCTTATATATTTGGAAATATACAGAATGAAAATGAAATGTTAAAAATAATTGAAAACATTAGATTTCCATCTCTTTTTTTTAACCCTCTTGGTCCATTTAAATATTATGAAAGTTAAATCTTCTTTATAAGTTTGAAAGAAATTGCCCACAAATCAGACTGGGTACATTGTCTTTTAATGGATTTATGTTTTGACAACTTTTCCAGTGTTGTTTTATTGCTATTGTTCTGCATATATTTACCTCATTTTGAATTAATTTTGGTGTCTTTGTTTCTAGAATATTATTTATTTCTTTATTTGTTTTTTTTTTAAAGTACTTGACTTTAGGACCATGAATGAGAAGGTCGAAGTTAGGATTATGATTGTCATTGGTGGCAGGTTACTGAGCGCCCCATTTTTGCTCCTGTGCTGCCCCCTTTGTGTTTACTGCAAGTTGGCCAGCATCTTGAGCAAACTGACGATCAGTGAGCAGCGTGGAGTCAAGAGGCAAGCGACTAGGTGCCGAAGTCCGTCAGACTCTAAGGCCTTCGGTCCGGAGAAGCTGCAGTCTGCGCCCTGCCGGCTGCCGGCTCCCGGCTCCCGGGGACCCAGAGGGCGGCGCTGCGGGAACCGCCTCCGGAGACAGGGGCGCCCCCGCGTCTCCCGGTCACAGGCCTGTCTTGCGAAGTACATTGTCCATGCCGGGGGTGGGTTGGGGAAATATGTGCAGAGATTGATTAGCTACCCTCTGTATTATCTTGATTAGATTCGCCGAAGGTGTTTTATTTGTTTGTTTCTGTCTCGGCCACTCATTCGACAATTGACAGTTCGCTCCTTTCTCTGGACGTTTTCCAGACTCTCCTCTCCTTTAACTGAGCTTGCTGTTTAGTCATGCAAACAACAATTTGCCAGGAAAATGTACAGTCCCTGGCAGCTGAGCAAAATAAAACAAACAAAAAAACACTCATAAGTTTAGAAAATCTTTAGAGGGATAATTTTAAAATCCTCAGTGAGTTTTTACGTTTTATTTTAAAATTATATTAATTTTTTTGCTCTTCATTTTTTGTTTGTTTAATTTCTAATTTATTTTCAGGCGTTTATCTTTGCCCTGAGAGCTTCATCCCAGGCAATTAGCCAATCGCACCTGCTCATTTATTTAGCTTGGTTAATTTTATCAAACTAAACTCTTATCTCTGGGGACTTCAATTTTTATTCTTTTTACTATAGTCGTAATTTTTGTTATCTGTCGGAATGCTAACACTGAAAGACCCGCGAAGACGCGCGCAGCAGAATCCAGTGGAAAGCTCTTCGGAAGCGCGGAGTTAATTCTTTAATCCTGCCTTCCATCGCTCTCTCGCGAGATTTGAAGCCGGAAGTCAATTAAAGTGCCGGAATCTCAACGAGCTGGTGGCTCTGCTGAGGTTGGCGGGAGCTGAAGGATCAGTCTGATCTTTGCTCTCCGACCTGGGCTTGCTCCGCTCCAGGGTGTTGCGGACAGTTATCCCGCCTCGGGACGGCAGGATGCGGGTGGCTGTGGCCGGCTGCTGCCACGGCGAGCTGGACAAGATCTATGAGACTCTGGCGCTGGCGGAAAAGCGGGGCCCCGGGCCGATAGATCTTCTGCTGTGCTGCGGCGACTTCCAGGCGGTGCGCAACGAGGCAGACCTGCGCTGCATGGCGGTACCCCCCAAGTACCGCCACATGCAGACCTTCTACAGGTGAGGTGCGCGGCACGGCCCTCCGACCCTGCGCCGCGAGGTGCGACTGGCCAGCAGTGAGGAAGAACCCGGAGTGTCCTCGACTCCCCTCTGCCACCGACTAGCTGTCTCCCTTAGTTCCCCGTCTTTGTTCAAGCTGCGCGTCTCTCGGAACCTGCGTTTAGTAAATGTCACTTTTCTTCTCTCCATTCACCTGGCTTATCTTTCGGAAGGGGGTCGCAAACTGAGGGCAAAACGAGAAGGAAGTAGCTGACAGGTTAATCAACTACTTGATAGGTCCCTGTGACTAGTTCATTTAATGGTCCTGGAGTTTTAATTGGATCCCTGCTATGTGCTAGTACCGGTTCTAGAAGCTAAGGTTATAGCAGTGAACTAACAAAGTTCGTGACCTCATTGGCTTGAAACTCAAAGTGGCAGCCCTTCATTCTTAAGGACAAAGATAGGCAAGTTTTTAAATTGTTTATTTTATTTTTCAGTTACAGTTTACAGTTAATATTACTTTGTTTTAGTGTCAGGTGTGCAGCATAGTGATTAGACAATTATATACTTTACAGAGTGACCTCCCATATGGGAAATTTGTTTAAAAAGAGCTTTTTAACTTTTCAGGGTGAGCTCAGGTTTTTCCTTAAGACTTTATTTTTGCTTTTCTCCTATGTCGAATTGTATAGGCACATCTAATTGCTTTTCTCTATGCTTCATTTCTGCTATGCAAATGGGCAACTTTACTCTTATGTTCTAGGTATTACTCTGGAGAGAAAAAGGCCCCAGTTCTCACAATCTTCATTGGGGGAAACCATGAAGCTTCAAATCATTTGCAAGAGTTACCCTATGGTGGCTGGGTAGCACCAAACATTTATTACTTAGGTATGTGTTTGTGGGTAAGTCCTTGGTTTGACAGGATGGAAGGGTCTTTTAAGATTTGTATACCAGTTGGGGAGTGTCTTGAGATGTATAGTGTTTTGGGAATCCTCTTAATATGGAAATTTAATTCAAATGGTTAAGTAGGTACATGAAAATATATCCATGCTTCATCTAGTGTTTTAAGCAATAGTTAATATAACTGCGAAGACCTTCCACACTGTTTTCACTTCCTTTATTTTTCCCTCACTCTTTTTATTAACTTAAAAAACTTAAAAGTTTTTATATTGGAAATTGCTAAACATACACAAAAATAGATAATAGTAGAGGCTTTCCCCACTATCTGAAAGTAGAGTGCTTCTATGAACACTTTCATAAGGGGAAAACTTTAATTAATTTACATGCAAAAATTTTATGTTAAACATACACAAAAATAGAGAATAGTACAGGTTTCCCCCACTATCTGAAAGTAGGGTGTTCCTATGAAACTTTCATTAATTTACATGCAAAATTTTTGAGTGTTCTCAGACCCAGAAGATAACCTACCAAATCCTACCAGTATGCTTAATCACATCCAGTATTATGCTGAGTGTAGCTTTCTTTCTTACAAGCTCTCTTAGACTTTTGTGCTACTGTAGAACACATCTAACTAATGGATGCACAAAACAAATCCAGATAAAGCACAGATGCTTAGACCCAGTTCAAAGCTATGGTGGCTTGATGCTGACTGTAGTTACTGGGGAAGGAGCTTGGTGGGGCCACTCTCCCTGTTCTGGATGTGCACTGCAGAACAAATGCTGAATGCTCTTTTGGCTTTTCACCTTTTTTTGTGTGTGTGCAAGCAAAAATTCTCTTTGCATTTCTTTCAGTTACTTAAAACAGGTACTAGTGTAGGTGTTTCATAAAAGTACAGTGGTGTAATGCAAATTTTTGAAAAGCTGGGGACACCTGTATAATGAATCGTTATACCTATTAACTAGCTTCAGCTACTATTATCCTTATTTCAGCCCATTTTCCTCTAAACTATTTTGTGGGAGAATGTAACGGGTATTTTAAAGCAAATCCCAGCCATGAGATTATTTCACCTGTAGATACTCAGTACATATTTTTAAGTGATAAGGATTTTTAAAAATACCATTTCTACGGTACCATTATTACACCTAACTAAAGTAAGAGAGTAATTCCTTATTATCTGTTGCCTAGTTCATGTTTCAATTTCCCTAATTATCATGAAGATATCTATTTTACAGCTTACTTGTTCAAATAGGATCCAAACAAGTTCCACACATTTCATTGCATTGTCATGATTCTGAAGTCTCTTAGGCAATAACTGTCCCTTTTCTCTCTCTCCTTCCCACTCCATGCCATTTCTTTGTTGAAGGAAAATGGAAATTTTCTTGTAGAATTTCCTGCATTCTGGATGTAGCTACTGGAATTCACTGAATTGTTTAACATGTTCCTTTTATCCTCTGCATTGCCTATAATCTGCATTTCGATTTATAGACCTGAATAGATTTAGGTTCCATTTTAGTCCCTTTAGGGCCAGGAGTGTCCAACCTGTGGCCCACAGGCCACATGCAGCCCGGGATGGCTGAGAATGGGGCCCCACATGAAGTTGTAAATTTACTTAAAACATGTGATTTTTTTTTTGTAGTTATGAGTTACAATGTATTTAATGTGTGACCCAAGACAACTCTTCTTCCAGTGTGGCCTAGAGATGCCAAAAGGTTGGACACCCCTGCTGCAGTCCTTTTATCTCTTTACTGAAAAGTTTATAGGTATTTTTGAAAACTACAGAAGTTTAATTCCTATACTTCACTACTGATTGATGAACTTTTGACAACTGCAACATCATGAAAAAGTGAAATTGCCTGATGATGATTATTCAGAAATGAAATATAGAAACTGCCTGTTCTTTATACCTTATACCAGTTGACTTTCAGATATATAACATATAAATCCATCATAGGACATTTTGGTCTATTCCCACACCCCACCCTCGTATTCCATTAGGTGCCAAATTATAATGCATCCTATCTTATTTGTTTTTTTCTTCCTGCTTAATCTCGTGACTGATCTGCTTCTAGGCTTCTTCTCCCTAGTCTACCTTCTGTATTGTTGGCATGTTACTATGTAAAAGAATAATCTCATCATGATACTTTATTTTCAAATAATTTTAGGACTGCATGGAATTCTAGGCCTCTAAACTGTTCATTCAGTTAGTAAAGAGATTGCTTTTGCCTATAGTAATCTTATTTAACTGTGTAATTTCTCAGGTTTGGCTGGTGTAGTAAAATACCGAGGTGTAAGGATTGGTGGAATCTCTGGTATCTTCAAATCTCATGACTATCGAAAAGGTATTGTTGTTCTGAATTGTTTTTAAACTTTGAAACTTGCATGCCCCAGGGTAATTTAAGCATAATATATAGTATGACTTTTACATTGGATTTTTTCAATGCACTGGCTGATTTATTCTTAAATTTATATTATAAAATATGATATACATAAATTTATATTATAAAATATGATATACATATGGAAATATAGGGGACACTAGAATGTATTATCTGTGTATCCACCATCTAGCTTTTATCAACTCTTAGTATTCTTGCCATTTTTAGTTTTGATTTTTAAGAAATATTCCTGACTAGTGTGGCTCAGTTGGTCTAGCATTGTCCTGCAGAGCAAAGGGTCTCCATCTCCAGTTCAATCCCTGGTCAGGGCACATGCCTGGGTTGCTGGCCACATCCCTGGTTGGGGCTGTGCAAGAGGCAACCAATTGATGTTTCTCTCACACATGGATGTTTCTCTCCCTCTCTTTCCCCTCCTTTCCCCTCCCTTCCCCTCTCTAAAAATTAGTAAATAAATTTTAAAAAAGAAATAAAACAGTATAGATAAAATTGAAACATTATTATCAGTGCTGCTCAATCCCATTCCTCTCCTTTTATCCCTCCCTTTCTTCCTGAGGCTGTCACTATTCAGAATTTGGTGTTTACCAATCACTTGATCATTTTGTATTATTACCATTACCATATATGTAACAGCTTTAAACAGTGTATTGTGTAGCACGTTTTCACCTTCATATAAGTGTGTCATTTTGTATATATCTTTCTGCAGCTTCTTTGTTTAATATGTTCTTGAAATCGATGTTGATACATGTAATTCTAATATATTCATTTTAATTTGTGAATAGCGTTCTGTTGTATAAGTACAGTTGATCCTTTAACAATGCATGATCAAAAATCCATGTATAAATTTGACTGCCCCCAAACTTAACGTGTCCCTTGGTATTTGGGAGGGATTATTTCCAGGACACCCCATCACCACCACTGATGTGGATATTGAAATCCATGGATGCTCAAGCCCCCTATGTAAAATGGTGTAGATCAGTACGTACGTTTGGCCCTCCACATCTGCACTCTCCCAACTCAGACCAAAAACAGTACGGGTATTTATTGAAAAAAAATCATCTGTAAGTGGACCTATGGACTTGTACAGCTCAGACCCATGTTGTTCAAGGGTCATCTGAAAACCACACTGTACTTATTTGTCCTATAATATCTGAATGAATTATACCTTGGTTTTAAAACTAAAGGAATAGCTTGGATTCACATATGATTAAACATTTTCTTGAATTAAATTGGTCACTTAAAACTTACATCCTCAGTGTAACTGTTAAGTTACAAGTTTGTTCCCAATGCCCTGTTCTCCATGATTCTAAGCTATCTCCTACATGGCTGGTGAGCGTGCAGATTGGAAACAGTCTTTGGAGGGACAATTGGTAACTTCTGTGGACATGATAAAAGTCCTCCAGCTCAGGAGTTCTACTTCCAGGGGTGTATCTATAGGTAGATTTCACATGTGCAAAATGATGTCTGCAAATTTATTTATTTCAGTTTTATGTGTAATAGCAAAAGGTAGGAACTAGTTAAATACATCTTGATATATAACTATACAGTATCATGCTATGAAGCCATTAAAAATATAAAGGGGAAAAAATCTATGTGTAACTAATAGGAAAAGAACTCCAAAATAAGTTAAGTAAAAAAAAAAAAGGCACAGAGCATGTATAAAGTCTACTGCTATTTGTATAAAAAGGGGGAGAATAAAGGCATAGGTAAATTATATGCATAGATGATATTCCCGGAGTAACAAAGAAACCTGACTCACATCAGCTGCCTCTGGGTGGTGCTGCTGATGGCTGTGGGTTAGGAATAGAAGAGCCCCTCCCATTGTTCTGGCAATTTTATTTTGGTAAAATTTATATGCTATTGTAAGCATATAACTCAATGGTTTTAGTAAATTTATCGAGTTACGCATTTAGATTTTACCACCATCTAGATTTAGACTATTTCTATGACTCCTAAAAGTTTTTTGGCTATTTGCAGTTAATCCCTGCTCCTGCCCGCCCTAGGCGTCCACTCGTCTGCTCTCCAGGAGGAACAGTTTTTACTCTATACCTTTCTGAAGGTATTTTTTAAAGTTTGTGAATAAACACTATACTCCAAAATGAAATATAATGTAATTAAAAAATCACAAGCCCCCAATTATCTAGAATTATAGTTTATGATCACTTACTAGTCAAAAGTATCAACATATTAAGAGCACTATTTTTTACAAATTTTTAAGAACCAAAAGCATTGGTAACAGACATTAGTTTTAGGGAAATGTATATATCTATTTGTACTTGCAGTACTTAAAGGTGCTGAATCTTGCTTATTTCTTTTCTTCCATTGAAGGTCATTTCGAGTGCCCTCCTTATAATTCCGCTACCGTAAGGAGTATATATCATGTGAGAAATATTGAAGTCTATAAATTAAAACAGGTATGTAAAAAGTACATTATGGCAGACATGAAAAAAATGTAAAAGGTACTTTGATCAGTTTGGCTTATTACTCTCATGAAGAACTAAATTCAGTATTTCTGAAATGTGGATTTTGAGTTTTTAGGAGGTTCACATATGAACATTAAAATTTTTTTGTTGTTATAAATTTATTTTAGTGAGTAAATAAAGCATTTAATTCATGACTTCAGATATTTTTACTTAGGATAACACTAAAGAATATATAGAGAGAATATATATATGGAAATAAAGCCACACTTTAAAGAAAATATTAAAACATTTTATTTTAAATAATGGTATCAAGTAGAAAATAAATAATAGTAAAGGTGACAGAAATATGGGAAAATCATGAAGATGGTATCGAAACACCGGCTTAACTGGAGAGTTGGCGGAGCTAGGTTTTTGGCTGAGAACCCATTCAACACCTGACCCTGGGCTAAGCAGTTTGCACACATGGTGTTTCACGTAATCATTGCCACTCAAATTCTGTCACATTAAGGATGAGAGGCCGAGGCTCAGATAGATAAGCACCTGCCCAAGATTTCCCCAAGTGATGAAGTGGTAGAGCGAGTCTGAGTGAACTCGGGTACCTGCCACCATACCACACAGCCTCTGTGGGAGATTAAGGATGCTTGAGGGCATTTCTTTAATGCCCCGCTCGTAACACTTCCTTATTTGGAATGCTTTGTCCCTTTCACTAGTCCAAAGCCCACCAGTCTTTGAAGACCCAGTTTAGATACCACTTTCCAATCAGTGTTCTAGTTTAAAGTCATCACATTTCACTGAATTTTCATTGCACTTATTGTCCATATTAATCATTCAGTGGTTAGTCATATCTTTTTTATATTTTGTATTGTCTTAACAGTTACTTATTTAAGTTTAGTTTTCTAAGTATTTGTTTCAGATTACTTGCAGGTGCTAGGATGAGTCAAATATAGACTATACTTTGTGTCCACCATGAAGACACCAGCTACCTTAAATATATCTGATATGATTTATGTAGTAAAGAGAGGTCTTTTTGGTGTATACTATGTGAGTCCATTAGAAAAAAAAAGTAGATTTTATCTTTAGGTTTACCGTATCATTTATGTTAGATGTCTTATGAAATCTGGTATCTCTGGATTGTTTTGTGTGTGTGTGTGTGTGTGTGTGTCTGGATCTTAAAAACAGTTTCTTTACCAAAAAGGGTTATTACATATTTTAGAATTCTAATGCTAAAGACATTGGCTGATTGGCAGTTTAATTGAAGTGTGCCTTTTTTGACCTGCCTTCCTGGAAAATAACGATGATTTGTGAGGCAGAGAGAAAGCTGTTTCTTTTTGCCTCTGTGAGTGAGTAGGTTAGGACTTACATAAAGATCCTTAGAATGCATTACACAAAAATTCAGAGATCTAAATGGGTAGGTGGTTGTGTGGTGGTAGAGAGAAGGAAGGGGGATTGCTTGTGGTTCGTCTGTTTTTAAGAGTTGTGTGGGGTTTTTTTTGTTTTTTGTTTTCTGTTAAAGCTGAAGCAGCCTATGGACATATTCTTATCTCATGATTGGCCAAGAAGTATATACCATTATGGAAATAAGAAGCAACTTCTTAAGACTAAATCTTTTTTTCGACAAGAAGTGGAAAATAACACCTTAGGAAGTCCTGCTGCCTCGGAGCTTTTAGAGCACTTACAACCTACTTACTGGTTTTCTGCCCACCTTCATGTGAAGTTCGCAGCCGTGATGCAGCATCAGGTAGAAAACACAGTATTTATTCTTTCAGTTAATAAACACTGAACATCCATGGGCTATGCACTGTTGACGCAGCTGTAAAGTTAAAGAAATGCAAGGTAACATCCTTTTGTGAGTAACTCAGTCTCCGGTAGGGGGAAGAGACAAGTGAGCAATGATTATTAGTGCAGTAAGTTTGTCACTACTAGGGTGCGGTGGGAGCACCTGAGCTGGGGATTGGTGACATGGGGGTGTGGAGGGAGAGCTGAAGAGAGAAGCTTGTCCGAGGGAATTGGTGGTACCAGCAAGAAGGAGATGATGAGGGTAATCTAGGAAGAAGGACCACAATGTGTTCGAAGGCGGAATTCTGAGCACACGGTGCTTTGGGAGCTGCAGCTAGTTCCCTGGGCTGAGGTACAGACACTGGAACAAGATCGCAAGTGCCTCTGGGCCATGCTCTGGAGTGTGGGTTTTCACCAGGAGGAATGGGGAAAGTTGGAGAGTGATGAAATCAGGTTTTCATTTTCGAAAGGTTAGTTTGGCAGCAGGACAGGAGTGATATAAAATAGGAGGTACAGAAGACTATTTAAGCAAAAGATGAGATTCTAACCTAAGGCAAAGGGAACATCGAGAGTGAAGCAGGGTCTAGGGAGATTTTGGAAGTAAAATCATCAGAATTTGGTCATGGAGGGAGGAAGGAATCTAGGATGACTTAAGTTTTTCTTGGGTAACTGCATGGATAGTAGTGTTTGATGGAAGATAGAGAATAAATATATGCCTATTAGTAGGCTTTTATGGAAATATGTAGTTCTTTCTCTCATCTCTGATTCCAGCTGGACTCTGATTTTCACATAAAATATTTCAAAGGGAAAACATTTAGAAAATGCTGGGTTAACAAAGTTAGTGATTTCTTCTCAGAGGCTCTGTAGAATTTCTGAGTCTTTACTGTGCTAATGGGCATTGCCTTACTCCAAAAGTGGGATGGGATTTCCAGTGCTTCCAGAACTTACTTGACCAAACACTTTTCAGTGGTAGAGGTACACTTTATGTTCCTCAAACACAGTTTGGAAGGTTCCGTCTCGAAACATTCCTGTAGGCCCCTTCTGTTGGGGACTTATTCTCCCCAGTTTCACTGGGAGAAGGAGGTGAGGTTACTCCTTTCATTGTCCAAAGTCCAAGTCATCTCTTTATATCAGTTGCCTTTTCCGCATCTGTTTCTTAGGCTGCTGACATGCTTGGATTTTTATTGAAATATTTGATTTGCCACCCCCCCACTCCATCTCCTGTTGTCTGCCAGACACTTGTCTCTCTGTATTAACAACATATCTGATCCATTTTCCTTGGCTTTGCAACCTCCTCTAACGCTGCCAGTGTCCTCTTTTAGCCCTGCCACCAACACAAAGATGACATTTCTTCAGAACTGCCCTGCAGCCAAGATCAGCCGTAGTCCCTGTGTCTCCCACCTCCCAGTCCCTCTTCACAAGTGAATTTTGATACCTGGTCCTCAGCAGGACGTCCCACAGCTTGTTTCCTTGTAGTTTTCCCTCCATGTGTCTTACTATTTTCAATGAGTCATTCTTTTCACTGCTTCCAATATGACCTTTATGTTTGTGACCCCTTACATATTTCTTTCTGACAATTGATCTTTCAAAAAATAGCTTTATTGGTGTGTTATTTACATAAAATTTGTTAGTTTAAGTGTATCGTTTAGTATTTTTTTGTACAAACACAAGATAATGTTGAGAATCTTCCCATCACCCCAGAAGACCCTCTGTGTCTGTTTGCTGTCAGTCCTTGTTCTCACCCTCAGTGCCAGACGACCACAAATCTGCCGTGTGTCTCTGCGGGTTTGCCCCTTCTGAACCTTTCATATAAATGTAATTATAAAATGTATCATCTTTGGCATCCGGTTCCCTGTATTTGCTTGTTTTTGAGGTTCATTTAGGTTGTAGCACATATCAGTATTTTATTCATTTTTATTATTGAATCGTATTTCATTCTCTGGATATTTTGCGTCTGCCTTTGATGTCGTGTCTAAGAAATCTCTGCCTGACTGTAGGTAACGACGGTTTCTTCTATGATTTCTTCAAAGCTGTGTACTTTGAGTTCTGCCAATTTACTTTTAAACTCCTCTGTTACCTTTAATCCTTTTGTTATGTGCTTCAATTTATGTGTTAAGTGCTTTGACTTAACATTATTATCATCCTTATTTTCTGCTTTAACTTTTGTAAGGAGACTGAAGCCCAGAGAGTGTAGAACTAACTTGCTTTGGAAAAGTAACAGTTGTTCCACTGACACACAACTTTGTGTAACTGAGATTATTTCCATCCTATTCAATGTATGAATTATCTGTGATGTTTTTACATTCTTAACCTAAATCATGGTTCGTATTATTTAGGCCCAGGATGAAGGACAGACGGCCAAAGCAACCAAATTTTTAGCCTTGGACAAATGCTTACCACATAGAGACTTTCTTCAGGTAAAAAGAAAGTGAAATAACTTTGAAATATAGTTTTACTCTTCCAATAATTAAAAAATTAATTTTTGTTTTCTGAATTATTAATTAGTGCTTTTTGTAATTTATGTTGTCTAAGAATTCCTTGGGATATTTATATTACATTAATATTTTTAGGCTACTTAATTAAATTCCTTTTAACTTTTGTTGTTGTATTGAAATCCATAGAATATTATTCCTTAAAATTACCAATTTCTTCCTGTAGGTAATAGAGATAGGTCATGACCCCAATGCTCCTGCTCACTTGGAGTATGATATTGAATGGCTCACTATTCTCAGGGCTACAAACAATCTTATTAATGTGACTGGGCGCCTATGGAATATGCCTGAAAATAATGGTCTACATTCAAGGTAAGTAAGTGCGACCTTACTTAGGACTTGCTCTCACCAAGCATGAAAGGTTTTTGTGTCCTCACCCCCTTTTTTATTTTGATTAAGGGGAAAACTGTTAAATGAGTATAAGAATAATTGAGGTTTTATAAGAAAATAGATTTTTGAACATCAACCCAAATAAGTGTAAGTGAATAAGTGTGCATAAAACTATAATGTGGTGGAGATTTGGTTCATATATTAAAATAATTTGTATTTGCTTTAGGATGTAAGGACAGCTTTTTCTACTAATTGTTTCTATTTCAAAATGGTCCTTTACTAAATGAATTATAATTTTACTAAGTGGAATTTAGATATATGGTTTATTTTTCATCCTTGCACCTGAAGTTTATAGTTAGATTTCATCATTTATTATCTGAGGGCAGTAGAATATAAAATACCCTTTTGTTCTTTTATAGATGGGATTATAGTGCAACAGAAGAAGCTATGAATGAAGTTTTGGGAAAATTGGATCGTGACCTTCAGGTTCCACTTAACTTTAGTGTGACAGCTGCTTGCTATGACCCAAGCAAGCCACAGACACAGATGCAGCTGGTTCATAGGATCAATCCACAGACTACTGAGTTTTGTGCCAAACTTGGCATCACAGACATTAATGTCAGTCTTCAGAAGGCCAAGGAAGAACACCACTTGTGTGGTGAAGATGAAGAACAGGATGAAGCAGGGAGTAATGACTCTGGAGAAGATCCTAGTGAATATAACACAGACACATCTGCCCTGTCCTCTGTTAATCCCGATGAAATAATGTTAGATGAAGAAGAGGAAGAGGAAGATAGCTTTGTGAGTGCACATAGTGATGTGCATACAACATCCCTAGAACCTTCTTCTGATCAAGCTTCTGACTTCTCTGCAAGCTTCTCTGATGTCAGGATCTTGCCAGGTTCCATGTTTGTTTCTTCTGATGATACACTGGGCTCCCCGATGGGCAGAGAGGAGAAACCTGGCGAGGCCGTGGAGTCCGGAGATGGGAAGGACTTAACTGCAGTGCCGTTGAAGAGGCTGAGTGACGAGCAGGAGCCTGAACAAAGAAAGAAAATTAAGAGGAGGAATCAAGCCATCTATGCCGCAGTAGATGACGATGATGCAGCATGAGACAGTTTATTTGTCTTAGTGTATATGTACATTTGTGATTTTTAATATTATATTTTTAGAGTTGGGTTTTTGACTCAGGACTGAACTTTATAATGATGAGGTTACATGGAGAATTGATTTTGCCTTTAGGCCTTTATATATTTCAGATACAAACATATTAAAATTTCATCTATTGACTTGATTGAGTACCCTTTTTTTGAAGATGGATATTACTTTCATTTGTTTCAGCAAAACTTACTGAATACCTACTTTGTGCCAGGCACTCTCCTATAAGATGGCACTATAAAAATGGCTAACACAGCTTTTTTTTTTGCTTCCAGGAATTACTACTACCATGAATATTTCTGTTAATAAAATATGGCATATTTCTATTTTGTTTTACAAGGTTAAGTCATTATTGTATGTATAATTATGTATGGTTTCTTTTCATGAATTGTAAATATTTTCCCTGGTTGGCTCTTAATGTTTGTCAAATGAAATTGAAGATGGGAAATAAGATTTCAGGAAATTAATTACTTTAAATGCTGAACATTGGTAAACATAAAATTTTATGCTGAAGTGCTGCAATTAATGTAACGCTCTTGATTTGCACGTTACATTTCAGCCTCAGCCTTCATTTTAATGTGACTGTCGTGCACATGTCACGATGCGTAGGTTGTTTTTGGCACAGTTCAGCTTCATGTTAATTATGAGCAGGGATGGAGGTGCACAGTGCTGCTCTTCATGCTGCACAATGGCTGCCAGTATTAAAGTATGTGTGAAGAGCCGTGTGGAGAAAGTCCACCTCTGTCCTGCCCCTGGGGAAACTGCCTGAGGAGACTGTGGCCCTGCACTTCGGGTCAGGAGTCATGGGACCCAAAGCCTGTTCTAGGCTCTCCCATTCCCACAGTAGTGCAAGTCCAGGAGACGATCTAGAATGACGGGGCGATGGCTGCCCTTTTGTCAGCTTTTGACTCGAAAACAGTCTAGGACTTTGGGATTTTGATCTTTATTGCCTTTCATTTTTTTTGTTGACTTTCTTATTTGTGAGTTAAGTACTTAATTCACCTACTTTAATTCTCTTTATTTATATAAAGTATTTAAAAGCTACTGATTTCACCATCACTGATTTAATTAAATCCCATAAAGTCTGACATTTAGTATTATTCCTCAGAAATTCTTAATTTAGATACAAGAATAAAGTACATAATTAGATATAAAATAAGTAATAGCTAATAGATGGTGATTCTCAAAAGAAATGGATAATTTCTATAGCTTACGCATTAAAATGAAAGCACAAATGCTAAAAAATAAAGAGAAATAGCCACTGAAGCAGGGTATTTACATAAACATAAGATTACTCTGTGTAGCTTTATACAATATATATAAATTTGATGAATGATTAATTTCCTATGAAAATCAAATTTTCTGAAATTTATCCTATTAGTGATAGAAGGTAAAAACATTTCCATAGAAAGAATGCAGAAAGTTATCTAAAGATTACCCCTACATCCCTGGCTGGTATGGCTCAATGGATTGAGCAGTGGCCTGCAACCCAAAAAGTTGCCAGTTCAATTCCCAGTCAGGGCACATGCCTGGGTTGCAGGCAAGGTCCCCAGTGGGGAATGTGTGAGAGGCAGCTATATATCTCTCTCATTGATGTTTCTCTCCCTCTCTTTCCCTTTCTTCCCCTCTGTATAAAGTAAATAAATAAAACATTAAATTTAAAAAGATGATTGCTATTAAAGTACTTAGCCCAGATGGTTTCAGGAAGAAACTACCAAACCTTTTAATGACCAGATAATCCCTAATGTTATGCAAACTTTTCCAAAATACAGAAAATGAAGGAAAGTTTTGTTTTATATGAAGCAAGTAGTGTATAACATTAAGACCTAGATTTGATAAAAATGACACACAAAACAAGCCAATTTCACAGACAATATTAAAGCAAAAGTCCTAAATAGGAATAAAAAAATTAAAATATTAGCAAACAATCTATACTATATTTCCAGATCATATAGCATAACTGATACTTTGGCAAACTTCAAGGGCCAGTTCTGATTTCTTTTTGAATAGTAAAGTCTAGTCTAATAGGGAAACACTGTCAGTTAAGGAGCAAGACGAGGACACCTGCTACTTCTATCACATTTTAACATTGTATTGATGGAAAGTGCCATCAGACAAAAGGAGGAAGGGACTCAGAAATGCAAAGGGGGCACATTCATGTGTTAAAATATTTTAACTTCCATGGCTGAAAGTCTTTTAAAAGAAAGAGTTTATTAGGCAATTGCTAGCCAAAGAGACCAGTCGTGGAGAATAGAGTTGTAAGGAGTAACAAAAATAGTATTTTCCTTCTCACTTTCTAAGTGTTGGGAACCGGTCTGCCTGGTTTCAGAAGCTGTAACCCGCCAGGGCTAAGGCTGGGTAAAAAGACCTTGGGACCATAAGACACTAAGGAGACTAAACTTATCCTCCCGGGAGGGGCACAACCTCTGCCCCCTTTCCTTCACCCTGCTTGACCCCTGGAGGATGGCTGGTTAGCCAAAGACGAGTAAGATTCCTCAAGGGAGGGACAACCTAAGACAGGTAGTCACAAAGGGGCCATCAGGGAAAGACTTAGGGGACTATAGAAAGGGGTGATGGACCTTCACCCCTTTGTCATAGCTTGAGTCCTCATTCTATCTGTAAAAAGTCTCCTAATCTTTTGGCTGCCCACATTCCCCCCCCCCCCCCCCCCTTGACTCAAGCCTGAAACTGCCAGAGGCAGGTGTGGCCCTGTGCTACATTGCCGGAAAATGGGGGTTTCTGGGGCAATCGGGCCCAAGAAAGAATGCATAAAATTCTGTGAAACCTGCCTTGTTAAGAATACCCTCAATTTAAATGTTAAAAGCCCAAGCATAAAATGAGTTTGTTTCCCAGAATTTTATGGCCCTTTGGCATCACTCTTATCTATTTTACCCTGACTCAGAATAAACCTGACCCTGACTCAGAATAAGCCCTTGTAGTTCTTTGAATGTTATCTATTCCTTGATTATTACTTCCTGACAATGATTGATGAGCTTTACCTATATGCCCCAGATTACTATGCAAACTAAACCCCATTGAGAAAAAGGCTTGAGGCCCTTCTCTGAAAGACTGGCCACATTTCCTCCCCAAGCAGATCATGTCTTGGTAGATTTATTCTCATCTGCAGTGTCTGGAAGGGTTCTGCAGGATGGAGTCCCCCTACACCTAAGTTCTAGCAGGGCTAATTATCAAGTTACCAAATTAAGAGGAGAAAATTACATTTTAATACATGTGCATGGGAAAGTCACATATGCATAAAAATTCCAAAGCTGGACAAAATTGGGCATGTATGTTATTTGGGACAAAGGAGAAAGTGGGAGGGGCAGTGATGGGATTTCCAAGAGAGCTAAAGATTTACAGGTGGCTGAGGAAGAGCAGAACACACATGACGGGTAAATTTTTGCCAGGCAATCCAGAAAAGAAAGACACGGGGAAGAGGGTGGTCGACAGGCTCTGACTTAGAGTCTTCCTGTCTAATGCTAAAGTGATCATATTAAGGTTCTCTAATCTCTTAGACAGGAAAGCGGGGAGGGTCAAAGTTTCTTTCTGAGTTTTTTGTTTCTTAAAAACCAGCTTGAAATCAATATCCCCAAAGCCTAAACTCTTGGTCCCCTTCAGACTAAACCACCAGTGGCATGACTAGGTAGGAAAGACATGTCCATTGTTCCAGAGTTTTGCAAGTATTTTTATACATCAGGTAGAAAGCAGGAAGATGTTAGCCTTTCTGAAAGGATCGACATTAGCTATAGACAAAAGAATAGGAGAAGGTGAAGTGGGGTAAGTTCCGGGATAGGTGCATCAGGGCCCTCAAAGAAGTGTCCACGCCTGTGGATTAGCTGTGGGCAGCAGATTGGAAAGTTCATGTGTAAATAAGAAGCAGAGGCTCCTGGAGTTAGAGGAGTCGTCAGAGCTGGTCCATAGCTATTACTAAGAAGCTAACTGCTCTGTTTCTCTAATTCTCAGGCAGCTGGGTTTTTTGTTTGTTTTGTTTTGAATTTAGAACATCTCAGAATCTTTTTTCTTATCACATATACAGATCACTTGATAGCTTAGGTAGAAAACACAAGGATATCAAAACTGAAACTAATACATTAAAGTAAGCACATATGCGCTGGCTGGTGTGACTTGGCAGATTGAGTGAGTGTCAGCCTGTGAGCCAAAGAGTCACCGGTTGATTCCCAGTCAGGGCACATGCCTGGGTTGAGGGCCAGGTCCTCGGTAGGGGATACGCCAAAGGTAACTAACATTAATGTTTCTCTCCCTCTTTTTCTCCCTCCCTTCCCCTAACTCTAAAAATAAGTAAATAAAATCTTAAAAAAACAAAGGTAGTAAATAATAAAATGTAAAATTAACATAACAACCCAACAGTTTTTACAGACACAATTACTAGTGAGTGACATAATATAAACAGCAACAAAACATTTAACATGAAATGTGCAAAACTTATACTGAGGAAAACCTTAAAATACACCTGAAAAGTACAAAAGGAGACCTTAACAAATGAAAAAGATCTTTTATTTTTGGATAGATAGACTGAACATTTTAGATACTAATTCTTCCCAAGTTAGTATATAATTTTAGAATGATTCCCAATCAAAATATCAATGCATGTTTTTTTTAAAGTTTGCTTTTTGTTTTGTTTTCTGGAGCTAGATGAGTTGATTTTAAAGTTCATGTGGAGAAATAAGTTTAAACAGGGAGAAGAAAGCAGAAAGTTAACTTATATGTGAAGTGCTGCTCAAACTCTAACTTAGTTATCAGAGAAGTGCAATTAAAGCAGTGGTGAGAACCTCGCAGGGACATTGGCGTACTGCTGAAAGCTAGCTGGTCACCAGCCCAGAACTGGGTGACGGGCACATGAGAGCAATGACCTTGGGGGCAAGAAAGAGGCCACACACTGGTCCAGCAGCATAGACCCTCCTTCCCAAGACTGACCTAACTCCTCTGCCTCTGTCCAACTTGTCAGCGACACAGTCCTTCAGATGGTGTTAGTCCTTGAAGACCCTGGCTGGCTACCTGGTGCCCAGGTGGCCGATTACATTAGGCCTCTTCCAAAGGTTTATCACCACAGGAATGAATATTCTGGATATGAATTTTCCTTTCCTGCCTGCAAAGCTTCAGCCACCGCACTACCTG